TAGTTACTTATTTTTGGGTGCACCAGAAAGGTCTACTTGCCACCCATAACTCCTGCAACAGTGGCAGTTAAGTGTATGCCCTCTCTGGAGGACCCAGATCACAGAGTGTAATCTACACAGCCAATGTTATAATAAATCATGATCATATGTAAACACAGATTGTGCAGATATACTGTGAGTGTAGGCCTGGTGGATGACAAACCCCCAAGGGGTAAGTTCACGAAGATCTGGTACCACAAAGCAAGCTAATACACAAAATGGCAAAGTGTGAATAGGCCCTACTTGTTAAGTACTCATTTTAGGGGGTAGAATCTGTGTTCAAGTAAGAAAACTTTATATGTTGGGGTGTGGGTGCTTTGGCATAGGAGTCCTTTGTGGGAGCTGCAATCCTTTGGTCTTTGTACTTGGAGTACCAGCAACATTGAGAACACATAAATCATGTGACAGAGGTGCGTAACAGCCCATTACGATATCTAGTTTCTTTTAGATGTCATTCACCCATTGTTTGCCACTTGTTCATAAAACACTCATATCTGGCAATTGTCCATTGTTTCCAAGAACAGTTGTCTGTGGAAATAATATCCCAGATCACTAATCACTGTAATACTGTTTATGTTTCTACATAAGGTTGCATTTCCTACTGCGCAGTTTTACACTGCTCACTGTGCCACTCTGTATACTGTGCTGTACCTTTTATATTCCAAGTGGTTTCTTCCTATATGTTCTACAATCCCCACAGTATACTGCTCTTTACATTTTTTATACAATGAAAAGAGTGTACACTGCCTTTTATATTCTATATCATTGTTCCTCAACACTGAGGACCAGATAATGAAAAATTCTACCATGCCCTACCATGCTCCAAGAGTAAAAAAAAAAAAAGTTAATACTCATACAGTAAAAGTACGGGAATGCATATATGAATTTAAATGTATTAAAAAGAGACTAATCAGTTAAAATATAGGTGACTGTAACTTAAACAAACAGGAAGATAAAGTGGCCTCCAGTAGGAGAATAGCCCCCCAAATCATTGGTCTCAGTGGAATGGTGGCCCCCAGTGAGATAATAGTCCCCCAAATCATTGGTGTTAATGGAACAATAGCCCAAGCAGGAGAATAGTCCCTCAGATCATTGGTGTCAGTAGGATAGTGGGCCCCAGTGGGAAATTAGTCCTCCGTATCATTGGTGTCAGTAGGATAGTGGGCCCCAGTGGGAAAATAGTCCTCTATCATTGGTGTCAGTAGGATAGTGGGCCCCAGTGGGAGAATAGTTCCCCAGGTCATTGGTGTTAGTGGGATAGTGCCCCCAGTGGGAAAATAGTCATTCAAATCATTGCTGGCAGTGGGATATGGGCTCCCAGCAGGAGAATAGTCATCCAAATCATTGCTGTCAGTGGGATAAGGGATCCCAGTGGGAGAATAGTCCTCCAGATCATTGGTATCAGTGGGTTAGTGGACCCAGTGGAAGACTAGCCCCCCCCCCCAAATCATTGGTGTCAGTAGGATAGTGGCTCCCAGTGTGAGTATAGTTCCCCAGGTCATTGGTGTCAGTGGGATAGCGCCCTCCAGTGGGAGGAAGAATAGTCCCTCAGATCATTGGTGTCAGTGGAATAGTGGGGCCCCAATGGGAAAACAATCCCCCATATCACTGGCATCAGTAGAATTGTGACCCCCCCCCCCCCCCCCCCCGGTGCAGTGTGATAATAGTCCCCCAGATCATTGTCAGTGGGATAATGCCCCCAAGTGGGAGTATAGTCCCCTAGATCATTTGACACAGTGGGATAATGGTCCCCCAGGGGGAGAATAATCCCTTAGATAATTTGTGACAGTAGCATAGTGGCCCCCAGGGGGATAATAACCGCCTAGATCATTTGTGACAGTGGGATAGTGGCTCCCAACGGGAGAATAGTCGCACAGATTATTGGTGTCAGTGGCATAGTTACCCAAGTGGAGCTATCCCGTCAAGCTAGCCAATTGGATGCAAAATTATGCCTCTGCCCACATTTCTGCTACTAGTTAGCTTCTCTATCCCACTTCATTCCCAACAGCAACACTCACTAGGTTAAAAGGGGCAAGCACATCACCCAAGCTGCTTTTAAAACATGATGTAGAATATAGGACCATCCTGCATGCTCTAACTTGCCCATTCTCCAGCCTCTCCTGCACTGCATCTGCCATAGTTAGTGAAAAAAAAAAAAAAAATGGGATCAATGACAAAAGTGTTCCTCTAAATCCTATTGACTAAGCATTCAAAAAAAAAAAAAAGTATGGACTTTATCGGTACTCCATGTACACAGCACAATGTTTCTAAAAAATGTTTGCACAATTTTATTGCAATACAAAAAAAAAATTACATATAATGTCAAATTGAAAGCAAGAGAAAGAAAATATCACACTACCGCATTATTAGGTAGGTTCCCCAAAAACATTTGTTGAGCTTAAAATATGTCTCTAAACATACCAATCTGCATGGATACATAGGGTAACACTGAGCTGCTTCTACAGGCAAAACACAACACTCCTCTAGGAGCAGCATTTTTTTTTAAGCCAGTGTGCATGAACCCTAAATGTGTAAAAATATTAATGAACAAACAAAAAAAAAAAAAGTTGAAATGTGTATGCTTAATAAAATAGAAATGAACAGAACAAATCAGCAGGAAAATAATAGTTGAAGAGAATATGGTGAGTTAATAAGGAGTTAATTAGGGCTAATTAAAGTAAACTAAGGCTCCATTCACACTTAGGCATTTCAAATCATGGATAGAGACACTGCAATTCTGCCCGCGATTTGAAAATGATCTGTGAAAATGCGCGTTCGCGTGTTCAGGTGCCATTAATTCCAATGGCATCTGAAAATGCGGGGCATTTTTGCCACGATCGTGGCACATTTTTCTCTGTGGCAAAAATGCCACGATCACGCAAAAACGGTTTTGGAATTTTTTGAGCGTCGCATGTCCCGCACTTTTGTTTGTGCATTAACGACACGTTTGTTGCATGAAAAATGCCCTGCAATCACAGCAAAAACCCTCGCGTTTTCAGGTACAATTTTTCATTTTCGTGGCGATTCCCTCCAAGATTTGAAACGCCTAAATGTGAATAAAGCTTAAGGGTTAATAAGGAAAACAGAGGAACATTTTATTAAAAAAACTACTTTTTTTTCCACTTGTCAGGTTGCTTTAACTGACATCATCTGCAGATGGAAGTTAATCCCTTTGATCTGCGAGGAATGAACAGAATAGATACAAAAGTAACAATCTTACTTTGTATCTATTTAAGTCAAAACAATGTTTAAACACTAAGGAATAGTTCACAGCAGCTGCTGTGTTCCTGGTGTGCAGTGGGATCACAACAGAGCCAATGCACAGCACAGCTATCCAAAGCAGTGTGCTTACAGTGAAGCACACTGACACGACCCCCTAGTAAAACACTCTCAACACACAGTTAACCCTATAATCGCCCCCTCATGTTAACCCCTTCCTGCCCAGTGCCATGGGGGTGCATCGGCGCCGCATGCGTGCCCTGTGCATGCCACCATTGGTGGCTTCAGCTGTCGATCACTGGGTCCCGGCCGGAGATTCCCCACCGGCAACTGGAAATTGCATCGGTGTGCCCTGCCCGTGCTGCCATTGGCGGCTTCAGCTGTCGATCACCAGGTCCCAGCTGGAGATTCCTCACCGGCACCTGGCGATTGCTAAGGAACACTGACAGGGGAGAGGTCTATATGTAAAAAATTTTATTATTATTATACAGGATTTATATAGCACCAATGGTTTGCTCAGCGCTTTACAATATAACGGGAGACAATACAGTAACAATACAGTTCAATACAAGAGGGATTAGAGGGCCCTGCTCCTTAGAGCTTACAATCTAGGAGGGCGGGGTGAGTGGTACAGTAGGTAGTCACTGTGGGGGATGGAGTGGTTGGAAGAGTAGAGGATACCAGAATTAGCAGAGGGTGGGATAGGCTTCCCTGAAGAGAAAGGTTTTCAGTGAATGCCGAAAGGCAAGTAGAGTAGGTGATAATCTGATATATTGGGGTAGGGAGTTCCAGAGGATGGGTGATGCCCTGGAGAAGTCTTGGCGATGAGCATCGGAGGAGGAGATAAGGGAGCTAGAGAGTAAGAGGTCTTGCGAGGAGCGGAGTATATGGTTTGGGTATTTAGATACAAGATCGGTTATACATCATAACCAATAAACAATACATCTATATCAAAACTGCAGCACTACAAATAGTAATAATAAATATATAGTGATAAGTGAAAATAATGAATTCAAAATAATTCAATATAGCGGTCAAAAACCATGTATAACAGCTTAATCCAGCATGTAAGTCAAGCAGGCATATGCATATATGTGAACATATGCTGACATTAACAGGAAAACTTGCTGGAAGCTAAAATCCCAAAAATTGTAAAAATGACATTTTCCAATGTAAAAATGGCTGCCAGCTATATTGAATTATAAGCTGTTCATCATTGGCTAATAAAAATTACTACACTATATTAGCTTTTCTCTGGTGGTTTATTCCTGGAGCTACTATTAAGGTGGAAATCTAGCGCTACTAGGTTGCTGTAATAACCGGGTGGAGTTGACACCGAGGAGGAGTCCTATTTTCTGTGAGGGTCCCGCGGAGAGGTCTGCAGTCTGGTGAAGGGGGTAGTGAGTACCTGAGAAGTACTATATTCCCATCAGTTCCTGGATGACCACTAGATCTACTGATTACATGCACATTTAAAGTGTGCGTCCGGTGAGTGCAAGCACACCTATTTTTCCTTACCCACAAGGAGTCACGAGCGCTTTATCTGTAAAGGAGCTATTGTTACCTGCACATGCTGGATGATACAAGCACGTGTTTAACCACCTTCCGCCCGCCCTATAGTAAAATAATGGGCGCAAGGTGGTTCTCTCGTTCTGATAGGACGTCATATGATGTCCTACCAGACTCACTGCGCATGTGCGGCTCAGGGAGCGTGCAGCCCGGCGATCGCCAGTGCACTTTGTCCCTCGGACACAGCAGATCACGGAAAGAGCCGAAGATGTCGGCTCGATCATGTGATCAGCTGTGTCCAATCACAGCTGATCACATGTAAACACGGAAATGCCGATTGTCGGCTTTCCGTGGAGGGGACATGTACACTTATCAGGGCACTGATCAGTGTGCCCTGATGATCAGTGTGGCCCCAGAAGTGCCACCTGTCAGTGCTCATCAGTGCCACGTGCCAGTGCCCATCAGTGCAACATCAATGCCACATATCAGTGCATACCAGTGCACATCAATGCCACATATCAGTGCCCATCTGAGCTGCCTTTCAATGTCACCCATCAGTGCCAGTCAGTGCCACCTATCAATGCCAATCAGTGCCACCTATCAGTGCTGCCAATCAGTGCCACCTATCAGTGCCAGTGTCGCCTATCAGTGCAAATCAGTGCCAGTCAGTGCCGCCTAACAGTGCCAGTCAGTGCCGCCTGTCAGTGCTGCCTATCAGTGCCATATATCAGTGCTGCCCTTTCAGTGCCCAGTGATGCCTGGCAATGCCCATCAGTGCAACCTACCAGTGCCTCCTCATCAATGCCCATCAGTGCCACCTATCAGTGTAGCCTATCAGTGCCCATCACTGCAGCCTCATTAGCGCACATCAGTGAAGGAGAAAAATCACTTATTTACAAAATTGTATAACAAAAACTAAGTAAAAACATTTTTTTTTCAAAATTTTCAGTGGTTTTTGGTTTGTTTAAGAAAAAATGAAAATCCCAGAGGTAATTAAATACCACCAAAAGAAAGCTCTGTCCCCAAAAAATGATACAAAATTTCATATGGGTACAGTGTTGCATGACCACGCAATTGTCATTCAAAGTGTGACAGCGCTGAAAGCTGGAAATTGGCCTGGGCAGGAAGGGGGTATACAATTGCAAGAAAAAGTATGTGAACCCCTTGGGATTACGTGGAGGTTTGCATGAATTGGGCATAAAATGTACTCTGAATGTCATCTAAGTCACAACAATAGAAGAACACAGTCTGCTGAACATAATACTACACAAACATTAGATGTTGCCATGGTTTTATTGCACATAACATGTAAACATTCACAGTGCAGGGAGGAAAAAGTATGTGAGGCCCTAGCTTAATGACTTCTCCCAGAGCTAATTGGAGCCAGGAGTGAGCCAACCTTGACTCCAATCAGTGTGATATTAGATGTGTTGCTGACAGCTGTCCTGCCCTTAAAAAACACACACCTGTTTTGGGTTTACTGGTTTCAAGAAGCACTGTCTGATGTGAACCATGCCTTGCAGAAAAGAGCTCTCAGAAGACCTACGATCAAGAATTGTTGACTTGCATGAAGCTGGAAAGGGTTACAAAAGTATCTCCAAAAGCCTTGATGTTCATGTGTCCACGGTAAGACAGACTGTCTACAAATGGAGAAAGTTTAGCACTGTTGCTACTCTCCCTAGGCATGGTCGTCCTGTAAAAATGACTGCAAGAGCACAGCGCAGAATGCTGCATGAGGTAAAGAAGAATCCCAGAGTGTCAGCTAAAGACCTACAGAAATCTCTGGCACATGCTAACATTTTTGTTGACACATCTACAATAAGGAAAACATTAAAGAAGAATGGAGTACATGGGAGGACACCACGGAGGAAGCCATTGCTGTCCAAAAAGAATATTGCAGCACATTTGAAGTTTGCAAAAGAGCACCTGGATGTTCCACAGCACTACTGGCAAAATATACTGTGGACAGATGAAACCAAGATTGAGTTGTTTGGGAAGAACACACAACACTATGTGTGGAGAAAAAAAGGCACAGCACACCAACATCAAAACCTCATCCCCACTGTAAAACATGGCGGAGGGAGCATCATGGTTTGGGGCTGCTTTGCTGCCTCAGGGCCTGGACGGATTGTTGTCATTGATGAGAAAATGAATTCCAGAGTTTATCAAGACATTTTGCAGGAAAACGTACGACCATCTGTCCGCCAACTGAAGCTCCGCAGAGGATGGGTGATGCAACAGGACAATGACCCAAAGCATACAAGTAATGCAACAAAACAATGGCTGCAACAGCACAGAATACGCCTTCTGGAGTGGCCCAGTCAGAGTCCTGACCTCAACCCGATTGAAATGCTGTGGCATGACCTTAAGAGAGCGATTCACACCACACATCCCAAGAATATTGCTACGCTGAAACAGTTTTGTGAAGAGGAGTGGTCCAAAATTACTCCAGATCGTTGTGCAGGTCTGATCTGCAACTACAGGAAACGTTTGGTTGAGGTTATTGCTGCCAAAGGAGGGTAAACCAGTTAAGTCCAAAGGTTCACATACTTTTTCCTCCCTGCACTGTGAATGTTTACATGTTATGTGCAATTAAACCATGGCAACATCTAATGTTTGTGTAGTATTATGTTCAGCAGACTGTGTTCTTCTATTGTTGTGACTTAGATGACGTTCAGAGCACATTTTATGCCCAATTCATGCAAAACTCCACGTAATCCCAAGGGGTTCACATACTTTTTCTTGCAACTGTAAGTGCCCTGTAGGCTAGTGGTTAAGGAAGATTTTATGTGGATGGTTATACATTTACATTGTGCATTTATGACACTATAATTTCATCCATATAGGACGACGCACCTTTGTCACTCTATTTGCACTCCTAGTTAGCGCTTTTTCACTTATCACTATATATTGTTATTACTATTTGTAGCGCTGCAATTGTGATATAGATGTTTTTAAGGATTTAGAGGTTTTATCCTTTTGCAAGCTGCTTTATTTAGTATATTGATGTATTCATTTATCGTAAGAGCGCTCGCTTTTTATATTATTATGTAAATAATACAGATCTCAACTGTCAGCTCCAGCACGCTAGTTTGTATTGCTCTGCATAGCAGAGTAATATAAAGCAGTGTTCTTACATAGTAAAGCACAGCACACAGTAAAACACACACAGCCCTTTGATCGCCCCAGATGTTAACCCCTTCCTGCCAAGTGTTATTAGTACAGTGTCAGTGCTTTTTATTAGCCCTGATCACTGTATTGGTGTCACTGGTGATATCAGTGACACCAAGTCAGTTCCCCCCAGTGTCAGAATGCCCGCCGCAGTCCCACTATAAGTTGCTGATCGCCGCCATTACTAGTAAAAATAAATAGAAATCCCAGTATCTATACTGCCATTTGTAAACGTTATAACTTTCACGTAAACCAATTACTTTACACATATTGGGATTTTTTTTTTTTTTTTAGCAAAGACATGTAGCAGAATTATTTTTGGCCTAAATTTGACAAAATTAGATTTTTTTATTTTTTTTACTGGGCATGTTTAATAGCAACAAAATAAAAAATATTGTTTTTTCTAAAAAATTTTTGGTCTTTTTTTTTTTTATAGTGCAAAAAATAAAAACCGCACAGGTGATCAACTGTCTGGTGCTCACGGAAAGGTCCCGATCTCCTCTTTCGATTGGGACCTTTCCTGATCATGTGACCACCGTGACGGCGTGTCACATGACCCTAAACCCCGCCCCGCCCCGCCTGAAACTCTTAAAGAGCCAGGAGGCACCGGCGTGAAGGATTTAAAGTAACACAAAAATTGGCTTGGTCAGGAAGGGGGGTAAAGCCTCTGGAGGACAAGTGGTTAAAAGACAGCAAGAAAGAAGGAAAGGGAGAGGAAAGGAGAGAGAGGAGGAAAGCAGAGAGAGGAGGAAAGGAGAGAGAGAGAGAGAGGAGGAAAGAGAACAGGAGAGAAGAGAGAGGAGGAGAGAAGAGAGAGGAAAAAGGAGAGAAGAGAGATTGTGATGATGTCACTGGGGGATGGAAATAGGTTGTAGGAACCCCTAAAACCTGATTGTTTGCTGTACAGCACCTCCAGACGCTGGCCTACAGCACCCACAGACTGCCGTGACTAGCCAGCAGCAGATCCAGCTGTCCACCACTCTCCCTCCACTCCCACAGATGAATTCCTCCTCCACTGCGCGACGGACTCTCCACATCTATACGGCCTGATGTGAAACCTTTCACCTCCCTTAATTGACCAGCACTCCGCCTACCCTCCTAAAATGCCACGTGTACTCCCCCTCATTGTACTCTCCTACATTCACAAAATCTCCTCCCTCTACCCCCCAAAACAACTATACATTGGACCCTCACTACTTCCATCTCCCCACTATGGCTCTAACCACCTCCTCCTGATACTCTACTCTCCCACCGACCCACACGCCACCACTAACAGACCCTCACGCTCTTGCACATCCCGCTCCCATGCCACCTTTCTCACCCTTCTCCTCCTCCTAACCGGGGATATCTCCCCGAACCCTGGTCCCTCACCACCTCACTCACCCACTAGGCACCCTCCTACTCCCACAAACCGCCGCAACCCCTTCAACCTTATACCTGTCCCCCTCCTCCCCGCATCTACCCCTCCACTCTCGGTTGCACTCCTGAATGCCCGATCGGTTTGCAACAAGCTCACCGCCATCCATGACCTCTTTATCTCCCACTTCCTCAACCTCCTAGTGGTCACCGAAACCTGAATCCAAGCCACTGACTCCACCTCCCCTGCGGCACTCTCCTATGGAGGTCTCGTCTGGTCCTATTCACACAGACCGAGCGGCCCCAGAGGTGGTGGGGTCGGCATGCTCGTCACTGCTGACCACCTTCCAGGTCCTCCCAAACCCCCCCTCTCTATCCTTTTCCTCCTTTGAGGCCCACTGCATCCGTATCTTCTCCCCCACCCCTCTGAGGATTGCAGTAATCTATTGGCCTCCTGGACCCGTATCCCGCTTCCTTGACGACTTTTCCATCTGGCTACCCTTCTTCCTCTGAGCTACCCACCATCATCCTTGGAAACTTCAATATCCCTATCAATGTCAACAACCCGGCTACATCCCAACTACTCCACTTAACCTCTGCTTTTTCACTCACACAGTGCACACAGTCCTCCACCCACACCGACGGGAACACCCTGGACCTCGTTTTCTCCCATCTCTGCACCCTCCACAACCTCACAAACACCCCTTTTCCTCTCTCTGACCACAACCTCATTACGTTCTCCATCTCCCCGTCCTCTAACACCCCCCCCCCCGAACCTCAAACCATCACCAGCTGTATCCTCCGCAACCTGAACCCAGCCCCTCTCCACTCTGCAGCTGACCGTCTGTACGACAGTATCCTCCCACTGTCATGCCCTGACCTGGCCACTACCGCGTACAATGACTCGCTATCAGCTGCCCTAGACTCCTTAGCACCCCTGACCACACGTAGCATTAGACCCCGACCGCTTCAACCCTGGCAGAACGACCACACTAAAAATCTTAAACGACGCAGTCGTGCGCTGGAGCGATTATGGCGTAAAACCAGATCCCCTCGAGCTTTCTCCCTCTACAAATCCACCTTCCTCACCTACACCTCCTCCCTCCATGCCGCCAAACAAGCCTACTTTGTTACCCTCATCAACACCCTCTCCACCTGTCCTCGCCGGCTCTTCTCCATTTTCAACTCCCTACTCTCCCCCCCCCCCCCACCCAGTACCTCCCTCACCGCCCACGAGATTACCACTCACTTCCAAAATAAGATCGACGCAATCCGTAAGGACATCGCCAATGCTCAACCTACCTCCCCACCTAGCCTCCTTCCCACTATAACCCCATCAACTCTTCCCTCCTCTGACCTCGCAACCACCCTGCCCCCCACCACACCTAACATCCCGCATACCTTATCCTCCCCAATACTCCGCTCCTTCAGCACTGCTACCACTAAGGAGG